TGTTGGTATTTCACACCACAAAGGGAATAAATAAATACATTGATCAAGGTCTGGAATTCTAGGAAAGCCTGACTACTCATTTCACTTTTCACACATCAGTCTCTTTTTGTACCTGCTAACATAATTCTATTTTTACATGACTTATTTTGGAACTGCACAAATGATCTTTTGCAGCACCACATTTTATGCCTTATAACTTAAAAGCCAGGTCATTTCAGCACAAGCTGCAAAAGCCCAGCATTCTGGCCTGCTGCCAATCAGTTGCCATGACTGGCCACCAGTGTCATCTGGCACTGAGCTCTAGATAGGTTCTGAGGTGGTCTGTCCTGGTCCAGAGGAACCCACCTGGAGCTATCAGGGTTTGAACCCAGGATATCTGCCTTTAGAGCCTTCTCTGTCAGTCTGTGCTCTTGACTCATGTGAATGATGATGATGATGATAACAGTGATGAGTGATGATGAGTTCATTCACTGACTATTGCTATAGTGCTGTGTCCTTTTAGAACACGAGTGAGCGGATTAAGTTGTTTGTAGTAGATTCCTCCAAGTGATGCCGAGTGTTTTCATGGTGACTTACTCGGACAGATATGCACTGGGGTAGAGGGTACCTCTGAGCATAAGCTCAGCTCAGGAGTTCGAATTCCATTCCAGATTCAACTTTCTTTGTGTCACCTTTCTTTGATGAATATCCTTCTATTTTTATTTTTGTCCTATATCTGAAAGCTACATTTAGTGCCACAAGATGTGATCAGTGGCTATAACAGTCAAATTCTTGGAGGATCAGTCTTTCACTGGTTACTAAGTGTGATGGTCATATGCAAAGTCCAGGCTTCAGAGATAGCATGCCCCTCAATAGCTGATGAGCTCGTGTTTTTGTAACCTGCTTGTGTACTTCCCAAGGGCCTGTCGTGTGCACCACCACTGTGCTAAATGGGACACTGGATCAGACTCGTCAGATTGGGCTCCTCTCATGTATTTTTATACATATGCACTAATTTTGCAAGACTGATTACTAGTACAGCCAGAGATAGTTTAGGTTCAAAAAGATCCAGGACTCTGGCCAGCTGGACAAAAGAGCAAAGCAAAACAAGCAAGCAGTATTTCTATATGCTAATTGTATATGCTCTAAAGTCTCTCTCTCTCTCTCCCCCCCCCCCCTCGTGTATGTGTGAGTCTTTAAAGGACCCTGTCTCCTAAGGACACCTGTATTAGTAAATATGGACAGGGGAAAGAAATATTTGACTTCAGGGAAAAAAAAAAACCTTCAGGCAGAAAGAAAGGGAGTGCAGCAGGAGGTGAAAAAGCCAAATAATCATTGCCTCCGAATCTTTATTTCAGCAAGTGCCCACAGGCAGCAGGGCAGTGGGTCAGATGACCTCCCTGAGATTCAGAGCTCCAGATGAAAGATTCAGGACTCCAGCCCTGGTGGGCTGCCCCTAACGCCCCCTCTGCATACAGCATATTTGAATTGCATGTGGTTCTCCCTTGGAAGCCCCTGATTCAAATCACACTTGAGTTCAAGAGGGGATCTGAAGCCAACTGTTCCACCTCCATGCCCACCTGCCATTGGGGGCTGAGAACAAAGATCACGAGTTGTACCAGTTCCCAAGTCAAAATACATGAAGGGTTTTGAACACTTCACATGACCTCTGCCAGAGTCAAGCGTGAGAACTGATTCAGTCAATGAATTATTTGCATTTCCTTAAGGCCCTTCCATAATTCATCATCCCGATCAGGGGAGTCGGGGCAGCTGCCATCACATTGCAAAGAACAAAAATTCCACGTGAGAATTTTTCGTGTGGGTGGGCCCCCAAATACTCTGAAGCCAACCATGGGGGAGCAGCCTTTAGTCATGCGTTCTCCAACACATCAAGCTGCCTTATATGGAGACGAAGTGCTCGTCCACCCAAGTCAGCGTGGGCTGCTCTGGCAGGCAGTACACTTCCAAGGTCTCCACAGAGAAATTCTATTCATTGGAAAGTCCAGGACTGAGCCTTGTGCAGACACTGTACCACCGAGTCCCTCCTCTATTCTCTCAGCAACGTGCCCATGGAACATGGGCCGTTGAACTCCTTTGTGTTTTTTAGCTGCTGGATTCCTCACATTTAAACCAGGCTAGCATTTGCATGCTCATCACTTGCTGACTGCAGTGGAGAGTGGCTACTTGCACCCTGAAAGAAGCATTCCACATGCAACTCCAGGTTTCAGTTTGGGGTATTACCTCGAATCACAATCCCTTTCTGTTGGATGGATGCAGACTTAGTCACTCTTAAAGCAGACCTGCTGAAATCGATGGGACAAGTAAGTCATGAGCAATATACGTCCCATTGATTTCAGCACGTTTGCACTAAACCTGACTCTGCCTGGATCCAATCCAATGGAAATGGCTTGCACCACTCACAGTGAGCTTTTGCGTATTAAGGCATTCAATGATGAATGAGCAGGTGAGCTATGTGTGTCTGTGAACCAGCTCTGAGAGATACATTCAAATGAAGAAGCAACATTTTTCCTTAAGGAATAACAATATCCCATTCATACTCATACAGCCCATTAAGTTGCATGCTGCAGCTTACTGGATACTGGCATAGCCCCTTCCCATTTTTCAGGGCTAAAACCTGGTTCATTGGGCCCCCGCTTGGCAGCTCTATGTAGCTAGAGGGTTGCAATCTCAGAAGAAATCTAGGACACCTGTCCTAGTTTTCAGTTCAAGGTGATTCTCCTGAGTGACAAAAACAGCATTCAATATATCCTTCCCCTGAAGATGTGAGTGAATGGCACAGGAGCAGAGTTTAACACACTTTCCACTATAATCCAGGAAAGTATCTAAAGCTGTGAGCTTGTCATTTTATTTCTATATGTCCCAACAGTTAAAACTCTCTGGGCAGTTTGCAACAGCTCTTATGATACAATAAAATGTCACTGCGACAGAATTATTTTGGTGTCTTTGTGACCCTAAGTACACATATTTCACAGTACACTTCTAAAGCCAATAGGCTGTTGAGGTAAGTATGCTTTGATAGTGGCTGGGCAGAGGTATTTCTGATTCAAAGTGGACACCTGGGCACAATTCAAAGATTATGAACCTTTGTGTTTGATGTACTCACCGGATGCCGGTTCTTCTGAACAGTCTTCTGTTTTCTTAAACTGCTCAGAACCAAACTCAACAAGGAACAGACTCTATAGAAGCATCATACAAGGTTTTGGGGTCCTCCCATTATATTTCATTCAATCAAATGTAAGGATCTAAACAGCTTGGGATCCAAATACCTGATGAAGACACATTTTCAGATCCTCTGTGGAGTCCTTCCTCCAGGTGCTTCCTTTGCCAGAAGTATGTTATATAACAAAGGAAAAGGCGGTATGAGCTTTGCTGTTGCACTGGCTATAGGAAGCTCTCCCTATAGAAACTCACCTGGCACCTACATAGCAATCTTTTGGATACCAGGTGAAATTGCATTTATTTGGCCAGGTATTGATACTTATCATTAATGTGCCCATCATTAATCATTTTACTTTATTTGCTGCTCTACTGATCTCCTGTTTAACAGTTTAAAGATTTAGTAGTTTGCAATATAATTGATTCTATACTAAGGTGAAACCTTGATAAGACAGAAGTTGTTACAGAAATGTTTTAAACCAATCAATCCATCCATCCATCCATTTATCAATCAATCAATCAATCAAAAATGTTTGGTTTAACTATCACTGAGCATAGATCATGAATATCAAAGGCTCTGCTTCCAAAACTGTAATCCTAATTTTGCACGGAAATTTCTATGCGCCATCTACCAAAATCAGTGTAAATAAAGCTTGCACAGTGCAGTCCTCGGTGGCTTGTACCCTCAGAGATTTCCAAGCAGAATTTTTGAATGCTAAACATTGTCACTGTCAGCCTAGTTCTCTCTTCTCTCCTATGTACCTCTCTCAATGTGGAGTGATATCATTTGCCGCTAATGCCAAACCTTGCCACTCCAACCCTACGCACTTTTACTTTGGTCCTTTATTTCAGTTGAATTAACTTTGAGGTCTGTTTACGGTAGTATTGCAGCAGCATCCTAAATAACATGAACATAATAATAAGCCCACCAAAAAAGGCAGCAACTGTCCAGAGAATTGGCCATACTATTTCAGTATGGCATGGCTGATGTTATGACTGAAAACATTTACGTTTTAATTGCATGTAAAATAAGTCATGAAAAACACAATTGTACATTCTAACAAACTTTACATGTGAAGGCAGAATAATACAAAAGAAGCGCAGATGCCACTTGATTTTTATATTAAAGTGATGGATGCAAAACTGTGACCATTTTTTTTTTTAGAAATGATAGGTAGCCCCTGCAAGCAAATGTTTCCGATTTCAAGCTGAATAATTGTCAATGATTACCACTCCTTTCATTTAGATACACCTCCTTTTGATTTTTTTTTTGCATAGCTAAAAATATTGCTGCACCATCTCCACTGCATTTCATGATGCTTGTGACAATATTTCTTCAACAAAAAATTTAAAGAGAATTCAAAAATTCATCTCTTCCCCATGACGTAATATATCATTTCTAATTCTTATAAATACATCTTTTGTTTTTACTCATCAGAGTTGAGTAGCATGCATTGGTATAGTTACTGTACAATCAAAATACTGCTGCAGACTTTATACAGTGTGCGTTTCCTCGGCTCGACAATTTTATTTCGACACACTGCTTGACAAAATTGAACAAGTAGGGGAGGAAAGAAAATGGAACCCCTAAGAAATTCAGTTAAAACAGCATCTCACAGTGCTTACCAAGATCGAAATGGAGTTAAATACTGATAAGTAAAATTATCCTTAGTATTATTTGTTATAATTATTACATTAAAAAAGTCCCACAATAGCTGACACACTTTAGAACCTAGCAAACACATTTTTAAATAGAGTTGCGCCGATTAAACGGGACACAAGCATCTGCTTTATCTTAATTAGACGGAGAGGTGAATGACCACTGTTTATTTTCACTTTCCTCATTAATTATGAAAAACTGCATTTAATTCATCTTGCATGGTGAGAGGCTGGCTGCGCAGATGTAGGTCGTAAGGGAAGTGGCTCTCTGTGGGCAACCTGAATACGGAACTCTGCCCAAGGGGACCCCTGGGTGGCACTGCACAATAATGCATGCCGTAATTGTAGTTTTTGCCATAGTCCAAGGCTTCTTCTTGCTTGAGGGAAAATATCCCATTATAGTTAATTGGGGGAGGACTTAAGGGACCTTCAAACTGTGGGCTGGAACACTCAGGAGAAGGGCTTTCGTAGAAAGACTCGTATGCGCTGCAGTAATTGTAGGGTTTCATGGACTTGGAATTGTCAAGTGTTCCGTGACCGGGGGGCGTGTTCATCTCGGGGCTGTGATAGGGAGGGTAGAAAGTGGAGTAAGGAGCTCTGGCATGATGGGCCGTCTCCCCTGTCTGACCCATCAAGAAACTTCTGGCGTTCAGCTGTAGGCACCCCGCCACCAAGTTTGTTGTTGGCTGGGAAAGACCTTTGCACAAGTTTTGGACAAACGTCAGCAGATCGGGCCGCTTGCCAATTCGTAAGATTTCAGAAAGAGCCCATATGTAATTTTTGGCCAGTCTTAAGGTTTCTATTTTAGAGAGTTTCTGTGTTTTGGAATAACAAGGGACCACTTTCCTCAAACTGTCCAAAGCATCATTAAGGCCATGCATTCTATTTCTTTCACGTGCATTCGCCTCCTGTCGCCTGAATTTGACCCTGTCCATTCTCATCTTAGTCATCTTTTTTTTCCGCAGGCCCCTTCTTCTGGGTAAACCATTTTCATCCTCTTCTTCCCGATCATCTTCCACCTCCTCTTTTTCAGTATCTTCCGCCATGGATCTTTTAATACTTTTTCCTTGGTGTTTTGCAAAGCTTTCTAGCTTCTTGATTTGCTTTGCGTCCTCACTCTCTCTGGAAAACTTTCTGCACATCTGGGACTCTGGCATTACAACTGACTCATCAAACGGTAGTGTCAACATGGCGTTATAATCTTTTGTGACCTGAAAGAATGCCAGCACAAGGTTTTAAAGAAATCAGTTTGCAAAGTTTACATTTTTATATAGATTGTCAGCACACTTGTATGTAATTGCCAGCCCTGAAAATATAGATGTATGTATATTTGCACACAGACACCTCTTAAAAAACAGAGCAAATTATTTAAAGAAAACCATATAATTTACATATTTATGTATTTATTTGGTTCACTGACAATGCAAGATGACTAACAGAAAGAAAATGTTGACATTTTCAAGTACAACAAAGTTAAACATTGTAAATTAACTCCTCTTTTTACTAGCTTAAAACACTTTTAAAAGATGGAATTCATTAACAAAACTATCTAAATGGTTTAAAGTATCAAATAAGGCAATATAATAGTCTATAAAATTAAAATTACTCTGTTAGCTGTCAGAAAAAATAATATCTTTAACTTTTACATTGTAATTTGTTTTCACATATTCTTTAGAAAAACATCCCGATCAAATCTGAATTGACTGGAAAGAATTAAAATGGAAAAGAAGGCAAATGAATCATTCAGTGACTTAATTAAAGCAAAGAGACGCTTTTTCTAATGATCGGTATGAAAATGTGTGATACACAGATTATTTCTTTCCTATTTAACCAGGACAGGGTAAACACCAAGGCGTACGGCAAGAAATAATTTTCTCTCTCTCTACTTAAAACAGAAGGGCAAAATCCTAAATAAATTTCCCCTATTTTAAAATGAACCTGTATTTTTGGTAGGGTCGTCTTCATTTTTTTTCTAAAATCAGAGGCAAACCCAAACCTCCTCACACTCTATGACAGCATCTGTGTTCTTCAAGGAACAGACTTTTCCCTCCAGCTAATATCTGACAGGAACCGTCTCTGTCTTCTGACTGCAATTGTGCACGTGTGTTCTGAATCCAGAATGAAAGGGGGGGGGAACAATTTGCTTCTCATCGTATTGTTTCTGCCCCTGTAGTCACTTTTAAAGCAGCACACTTCGGGAGTTGCAAATTGACACGCAAATACACACTCGGACATTCACAGAAAAGGCAGTAAGAGACATTTAAGCAGTTATAGATTTTAAAAAACAAACTAAACCAAGCCCTTCACTTGGAGATCAACTCCCTGAGTATTGTCCACAGTACTCTTGCAGTATTACATAACCAGTAAAAGTATGCAGCAACATTTAAAAAGCTCTAATATAGAAGTAGAAGCAAACACAGCATTCATAAAACACAAGGCTTTTAACTTGTATCTTAAAACACTTGCATGCATACCTAGAAGGACCAATTCAATATATATGTGTGCATATATGTATATGTATATATATATATATATATAGGCATTACCTTGGCCTTTAAAAAAATCTCATTCAATAATCAGTTTTCATTTTTTGCCTTCCAAATCTTTTCAATCTGAATGTCGCATCGTCTCCTGGAGTCTAGATCTGTGTATATCTGCACTATCTCATTGATCTCTAAAAAGTGACATTGATGCCAACTGCCAGAGCTGGTACCCATGCCATCTGCTGGTGACGTCACAGGGCAGAGAAAACCATGTGATCTTTTCTCCTGGGACCTTCATTCTGCACTGATCATCTGGCATCCCTGTAAGTGGGTACCAGCATTCATGTATCAACACAGAAGGTTAGGCTGATAGGAGAAAGGGGGGGCGAGAGAGAGAGATAGAGAGAGAGAGCGCACAGGATGGGGGGGAAATCCACACCAGCCTCTCACATGAAATAGATGCATTTTTGCAGTTTTGTCAAACAGGCAGAAATGCCAACATTTCACTTTTATCCACAAGTATTTCTGCTTTCCGCGTGAGAGCAAGCCTGATGTTTATTGAAGAAAGGATTTTTGTCCTATCGATCAGAATTTCTTGCGCGCCCTTGGATACACCGAAGGGAGGAGCGGCCGTCGTTCAACAACTGAAAAAGTGTCTCATCACTCTTGACCGAAGCAAGTTTGGCTCAGGTGTGGGGTTACTCATACGCAGTTTGTGACCCAACATTGTTGGGAGCAATCTGGGTGTTTGTGTGTATGTGGCTTCCCAAAATGCATCTGCATTTAATAATCAATGTATGGTTTTTTCCCCTTCTTTAGGGCTTGGTGCATGAAATATTCTGTTGTGTTTTTAGCAGAGGTTTATGAGGCATCTTTTAATGGGGAGTGAAGTATGTGATGGTTTCAGAAATCAGTGTTTCCTGCAACATAAATACATTATCACTGTTTCTTTCTCCCCTTTAAGCACCACACGTCCTATGTCCACCGGTGAATTTTACATGAGGCAACATGCAAAGATAGGCAAAGCATGATCTCTTTAGGGTTTTCTTATGGTTGTCTTCTTTAAAAAAAAAAGTTATAACTTATGTATTTATTTTATTTCATTGTGTGCCAGAAAAATATTCTAAATAAGCCCCTTCGTGATTTTCCAACAATGTTATATGCTTCTTTGTGTTGCACTCCATCTTTTGCTACCTCTCAGAATTATCTGTTCATCTGCCACTCTTCCTCACTTCTTTTATCTCAACATCAACACCAGCAGGCAAGAAATGGTTAAATGGAGCTAACACCCACCCAGACACACACACCCACACACACACACACACTCCCTATCCCCAGCAAAGCATGCCAGTGTGCTTCAGGCTAACTCCACCTTTCCAGGAGTAACTCATCTCCGAGAAAGCACATACATAACCGATAGTTAACATATTACTTTATTTAGAAAGGAAATTGCCCGTGTGCAAAAAAAAAAAAAGTAAACAAACAAATACAAATTGTTTTGCGTTGTTGTTTCTCTTGTGGCTTTCGCACTTAAAGTGAAGTGCAGTAACACAATTTGCATCTAAAATTAAAGTAATCCCTTGCCAAGTTGCTTTTGTTATGGATCTGTGTCAGCAATTCCAGCACGGTTTTGTGTCCCCCCGCCCCGCTCCCCACCCAAAAATTATTTATGGCTCATTGCTAATTCAGAGTGGACCCTTGGTTCTGATCCTATCAGGATTACAAGATGCTATCTTGAAGAGTTTGGATATTTAAAAAGAAACCAGGAGATGTGCTTAAAAATCAATGTAAAGCATTCTTTCATGTGCCTCCAGCTTAGGAATCCCGCCCTCTCTACTTTTTTATTGCCATGAACAGATACAGGCCATTAGCTCGTAATCTAAATTAGGCCTACGTGCAAGAAGAAATATATCTGAATGAGGGCAAGATCTTAAAAGTTATATGGCAAGTGGCAGTAAACAACCGGTTCCATACATCTCCCTTCTCACCAACCCTGTCCAAAAGTATTACTTTTTGCTGCTAAGCACTTTAATCTGAGTTATGTTTTACTACATGCTCTGCAATGGAGGATCAATCTTTCTTCTGTGTAAGGAAATATATGTATTTCTTGAAAGCCCTGAGGTCAGCACTTAACCTTTTAATGGAATTTGTACGTTTAATAAGCTACAAATGCATAGTATGTGGAATTTGCAAATCACTGAACAACTGCACCATTTTCAAAGTGTTGTGCTAAAAACAAAAACATATAAAACTACTGGAAAGTTTTATATAGCAATATACTGCCATTCTAGGAATTGTGATATTTCCAATCAGTGTAAGATTATTCTTCATCGATCATTTAATTCTGCTACTTGACAAAACAAAGCCAAAAAAGCCACTGCAAAATAATTTTATGTGTTTTTTGTACCACCATGAAGAAGAATACAAGCAAATCATGGATGGCCCTATTAACATTATATGGTACATTCTGTAAAATCAGTCATGTGACTTTTTAACGGGATTTCAGATAAATCGCTGTGACGCAGAATAGCTGCACTGGCAAGGTTTTAAAGCATCTACTGTGTATGCCTAATAACTTTGGAAAAAAGATCCCAGTTCTACTGCATCTCCTGCGATATAATCCTATGATATGCAAATCACATGCATTGCTATTAATATGCATTCACCATTTTACAATGTCTCCTGGGCCAAATACAATGATATTAAAAACAATCACATTCTTTATGACGAATGTATAGATATTTGAGGATCTGGCACACAGAAGCGACCACGTCCATCGGATGCAATGATGCCATATGCTGCCAATTGGACAAGCTATTTTAGCAGAGGAGCAGCCCAGCTTCAGCTTTATCAGTTTGGTCCTCCAAGCTGCTGGTTCCAGAAACATTGTGGCAGAACGAGAAATGTGGATCTGGAACTGCGTGCAGCATAAATGCGGCAGTGGGTGTTGGAGGGGCAGAGCAGCGGACCATGAAAGGGTTAATCGGCTTCCTCCCACCTGCTGCTTCTCCAGCGAAACACTTTGTGCAAGATAAGTGGTCCTGGATTTTGCAGACAAGCACCGGGGGAAGACTGTGTGCTCTACCTTCAGTGAGGCATTGCTAGTATACCACAACCTGAAAGGTACATAAAATTCCATATTTAGCAGTCTGAATATTCATTGCCAAAACAAACAAACAAAAGGGAAATGCATCATCATGAAAGAGGATGCAGATTTGCATAGCATTTTCACATGCTGATTTATATTTGTGGATGCACTTTTGAAAATCACGGGTGGCACACATTTTAGGCAAGAGCTGAATTCCCTGCCTAGCAATAGCCCCTCAACCCCCTGGAAATGCCACACAGATGGCTCAGAGACGCTGCTGAACGGGGCAAGCTGGGAGGAATCCCCCAAATCAGGCTGAGGCACTTTCTGTGAGCAAAGCCCTTTCATCAAGCCAAAGACAGATCCTGGATCCAGCCCAACTACTAGAATTTGATTAGAAATGCAACACATCTTACTGTAGCATGGAAGGCTGCGACCAGGTGTCCAGTTGCTGCCTCATTCTGCTGTCCAGGTGTTAATTGCTGATGATCAATTGTAAGGCCTCTTTCCCTTCCAATCAGACTTGGAGGGACAGCCCTTCCCCTAAAGGATACCCTCAAACAGAGACTGTCTTTTATAAATAAAGCAGACACTTAACCATCTAGTCAGCAGAGGTCCC